CAACAGGAAAAGACTATGCATTGTGAGAGTACTCACAAGCTCAACAAGATCATGGTTTAAGATAATGGCCCAGTAGCATGGCAAAATGCCAGCCAGAGGTGGAGGGAAGCGGGATTTCTACAGTAACAAAGATATTTAAAAATAATTAATATTGTAAATGCGAAATATATAGGAAGTTAAGGCTAATAGGAAGTCCAAGGCAGTGAATCGAGAAGCTGTACAGCTCATTTGTCTGGGGAGCAAATCAACAAGGTTTCTTATTGATAAATCCCTGAACTACTCTTTAAAGGTGAACTGCCAAGTGACTGGTGAGTGTCATTATGATTTTCCCTTTAGCCTCTCTGATAGGGCATCTAAAATGTTTTGCAGCTAGCAGGAGTTGTCCACACAGTAACTACATAAAAGAGTTTAAAGCAAACATTTCATGTAGGTCACTTGTCAGGCAAAACCTGCTTAACTTCTACTAATCCACCACTGCAGTCTAGAGGTGACAGGATCTTTCATTACGTTTGCTGCCTGCTTTACCTTTTCTATTTAGACACTTATCTTTGATTCCCTCCTACAACTTTTTTCAATCCTCAAAGTTCAATTCCACAGTATTTGAGAAGCAAAGCTACAAACGTATGCTTAACTGAAAATATGAATCAGGATGAGTGCAGAGTACGTCACTGAATGAGATTTAAACCATATGATACTTCCCCCAAAAGTTTTCCTGATTTTTGCTTTTGAAACCCCATCCTCAATTCTCATGTTTTGTTAAGAACTATTTAAAATTAAATAGGTAAAATAACAATAAAAATTACCGGTGTTTGAAATGTTTGAAATGAGAAACCCTTCACACAGTAACTGATGCTTTCAAAGCCATGTTCTTTGCAACCGTTGCTTTGTGGCAAAGTGCAAGTGGCTTTGTTTTAGCATCACTACAAGTTTTTTGTGTGAATTTCAAAAGAGCTTTTTATCCTTGTCCCTTTGGTCAGTTTAGTGAAGGAGTAAATTCACACTGAGTACTGAGACTATTCCACACTGAGTACTGAGACTATTCTGGTACCAATGGGAACCACTACTTACTCTGATTCTTCCATTTTCTCTCTCGGCATGATTTGTGTTAGAAAGTCTTCAGCAGAGTTTGGGAAATGTAAAAAAAAGTCCTCAGTGAAAAGTGCCAGTTTACTAATGCAAAGTGGCACTAAGCCCAAACATTTTCATTTACCAGTCATCAAGATCATTTTGATGACTTACATGTTATGACTTTGATGATTCAAGTTACACAGTCTACAGTATATATTTTTCCTGTGACTAAAACAGAACTAGCTATGTCAGACCACCACAGATACCTTCACAAAGACTGAATTGTTCTTACTGATACTGAAGAGCTTGCCAAGCCACTCTTCATCATTTATTAGCAGTCCTGGCTCTCTGGGGAGGTCCCAGATGATTGGAAGTTGGCAAATGTCATGCCAATACACAAAAAGGGCTGGAAGGAGGACCCGGGAAACTCCAGGCCTGTCAGCCTGACCTCAGTGCCTGGCAAGGTTATGGAGCAGATCATCCTGAGTGCAATCACACAGCACCTACAGGATGGACAAGGGATCAGACCCAGCCAGCACGGGTTTAGGAGGGGCAGGTCCTGTCTGACCAACCTGACCTCCTTTTATGATCAGGAGACCTGCCTGACGGATGAGGGGAAGGCTGTGGATGTGTCTATCTGGACTTCAGCAAAGCCTTTGACACCGTCTCCCATAATATACTCCTGGAAAAGCTGGCAGCCCATGAGCTTGGACAGGGGCACTCTCTGCTGGGTTAAGAACTGGTTGGAGGGCCGGGTTCAGAGAGTGCTGGTGAACGGGGCTGCATCCAGCTGGCGGCCGGTCACCAGTGGTGTCCCCCAGGGATCAGTGATGGGCCCAGTCCTGTTTAACATCCTTAGTCATAATTTAGATGAAGGGTTTGAGTCCATCATTAGCAAATTTGCAGATGACACCAAGTTGGGGGGAAGTGTCTATGCTGGAAGGCAGGAGCGTTCTGCAGAGGGATCTGGACTGACTGGAGAGCTGGACTGATTCCAACAGCATGAGGTTCAACAAGACCAAGTGCTGGGTCCTGCATTTCAGCCACAACAACCCCCTGCAGCACTACAGGCTGGGCACAGAGTGGCTGGAGAGCAGCCAGGTGGAAAGGGACCTGGGGGTGCCAATTGACAGGAAGCTGAACATGAGCCAGCAGTGTGCCCAGGTGGCCAAGAAGGCCAATGGCATCCTGGCCTGGATCAGGAACAGTGTGGGTAGCAGGACCAGGGAAGTAAATCTTCCCCTGTACTCAGCTCTGGTGAGGCCACACCTCGATTACTGTGTTTAGTTCTGGGCCCCTCAGTTCAGGAAAGACATTGAGATGCTGGAGCAGGTCCAGAGAAGAGCAACAAGGCTGGTGAAGGGACTTGAGCACAAGTCCTGTGAGGAGAGGCTGAGGGAGCTGAGGTTGTTTAGCCTGAAGAAGAAAAGGGTGAGGGGAGACCTCATCACTCTCTACAACTACGTGAGAGGAGGCTGTAGCCAGGTGGGGGTCAGTCTCTTCTCCCAGGCAATCAGCAGTAGGACAAGAAGTCATGGTCTTAAGCTCTGCCAGGGGAGGTTTAGGTTGGATATAAGGAAGAAATTCTTTACAAAGAGGGTAGTCAGCCATTAGAAAGGACTGCCAGGGAAGTGGTGGATTCTCCTTTCCTGAAGGTTTTTAAGATGAGACTGGATGTAGCACTTGGTGCCATAGTCTAGCAAACACGGTGGTAGTGGATCAAGGGTTGGACTTGATGACCTCAGAGATCCTTTCCAACCTGGCTGATTCTATGATTCTATGATGAGTGAGTTGCTGCGATAGCTCCTCTTTGTATCATGGAAATGTCACCCAGCATGGAAGTCAGGTGTTGCTCACCAACACCTGAATATCCTCTCACTCCCGAATGAGGGAAACATCACTCCCTTGCTGTGAAATTTCTTCCTACCATACCTCACCTGATATTGTTGCTTTCTTCTAGTGTTCCTCACTAGAAGTCTTTGCAGCAATATAGTCTTTTCTCTCTACTGCTGTGGATCACTGGAGAAGAAAAGAGGAGGGGTCCTAGGTCACAGACTTACTAAAGCTAATCATCACCAAAAATGAAGTTGGGTCACTTGCACTCTGTCTGCCCATGAACTGAAACAGTTAAGTCTGGCTGTGGCAATGAGACTTATTTTTTACTGCCAGAAGTTAACAGACGGTTTGAGCCAACCTAATAGCACGCTGTGTGTTCCCTGATATCCTGTCTCTGTGACTGAGTGCTACAATTAATCCAGAAGAAAAAGTATAAATTGTAATCTGTCAGGTCAAAAAAGATTACAAGACAAGACTGATCCAACACAAGGTCAAGCATAAGAGCATGTGACAAGGACAAACGGGAACTTTTTCTTTGAACTGCAGGAACTATTAGGAACAGTGTAAATATCTTGAGTAAGCCCCACCATTGTCTTTTACTAGCTTGCAGTCAAATGAAGTGTAAGGAAAAGTAACCAACAAAAATTAACAACAAAAACCCATTACATGCACAAGTTTCACAGGAGCAGGCCGTCCTCAAGAAGTTTATGGCATACTTTTTAAAGACATGATCCAGTGAGGAATCCTTCAGAAATATGCTTTTGTGGAAAGAGCAGCACAGTACATAACCTTAGGGCAAAGTAAAAAGTGATCTAATAATTTCAGAGAAAAAAGGACTACTAACTTGTGATGAAAAAAAATAGTAGAAAATAGCGTGTTGTAAATGGGGAAGAGTCATACTGAAATCTTACAATGGCATGGCATGGCGGGAAGGTGGGAATGATAGGTTTTAGAGCATGATACTGCTTGTGTTAATGTTTGGGACCCTCAGCTTTGGAATGTCTGTTTCTCCTTACAAACCCCTGCCCAATTTCTCTACTGAAGAAATGCTAAAAGGAATTGCTGCAAGGAGTTCCTCAACATTACAAGAAAAAAGACCCCAACCAAAACCCCCAGAAAACCATAAAGAAACAAACCCTAAAGGTTTGACCTTGACACATACTTCTGAGAAAGACATATATACCTGCCCACTCTCCTATAAAAACTGGCATATGGATGCATCCCCAAAAACAATAGGCAAAGACTAATCAGTATCAAAATCATTATAGACCAAGTTTTTCCTCTAGAATTTTAATTTTATACCACTGCAAACCCATCAACTTTGCCCAGATAGGTTCTAATTTACACTTTACAAGTGAAATCAGAATGAAGACAAAATATAAGAGAGTCCTCACTGTACACCTGACCCTATACATCTAAAAGGAACCTGACACTCAAGAATCAAAAGCGGAAAAAAATCCCTCTAAAGTTAGGAACAATGTATATTTTCAAGAACTGTCAGTCACAAAGCAGGATGAGATTGCTGGGATCAGGAAACTGTTTTGGCTTTTCAGCATTTTCAGCACAAGATGAATGCCACCATGACTAATGGAATTTCCCATTAAATATGGCCTAAGGAAAGCAGACATTTCAGAAAACAAATCAGCACTTTACATAAATGTATTTATGCCTAAAATTAGATTTACTGTTTTGGTATGAAGCTGACTGCAATATACCCATTTATTAGGAATACACATAAGAAATGCTGCTGTGCCTTAGTTATATGTACTTTCAACCTTTTGCTGACTACACACCCAATACTAGAGAGAAAGTGCTATCACAGCAGCTAGGCCAAAACTCAACATTCAAATAGTCTTAAGTTTACAGAAAAGAAAAATAAAGCAGAACATTAAAAAAATGGCAAAGAGAATACTGTAACTGCACTTAGAAGTGGCGGCAAATCTGTCATTCCATCTTTGCATTTCCTACTGTGATTATAGCTCTACAGTCACCTATCAATCACTCGCCCTCTGTTTTGTTTCTCTTTACAGAGGAAGGCAGATGGATTTCTTCTGTGAACTCTCCACTTAGTTAACGTGACACGAATCCCAGCTTACCTGAGTCTAAGTGCCATGGGTCAGTAGCGGCCGACATTGGTGGGATGGTGAGTGGAGATGCCCCGCAGTTGGATTCTACCAGTTCTCCTTGGATGTGAACGTGAGAGGAGGCGTTGGTAGGTCTCAGAGCTGCTTTGAGTGGAGCAATCTGGTTGAACTGCACTCTTGATAGACAGCCGGTGAATCCTGGGGTGTTGTATTTATATATATCTTGGTCAATCTTCCCAATTTCTACGGGAAATTGAAGAGGGAAAAAAATTAATCGAAACAATTCACTGCTTTGGAAAGTGTAGTTGGTCTGAACACTTAGATTCCCAGAGTACAGTTCCCAAGTCTGTCTCTCAGGGATACTGGGATCATGTCATACCCTGACAGGTTTCTTTACATTTCATTATAGATTAAAGCTGGAAACCTTCAGGTCTTGGTGTGACTCAGTTTCACTGCTAAGCTATCATTAAGATGAAAGGCTGGCATGTAGGAGTCAGTGAAGGAGTCATCAAAGAACAAAAGGGTAGGAAAAAAATCTTTTTCCTGAGAAAAGTGGTGGAAGAGAAAGTAGTAGGACATCCATGGCTGGGGTTTCTCCTCCCAGCTGAAGCTGCTGCTGAGAGAGATTCCCCTTCCTCAACCCTGGCCTGTTGCCCTCTCTAGCTCCTCTCAGTGGGCCTGGCTAAATCCTGGTCACTCCTGTCCCCCTCCTGTCTACTTGCCTGGAGACCAAGTCTCCCTTCTCTTGAGTACTGAGCATCCCTTCATTGGAGAGCCAAGGATCCCTTCACCAGAGGACCATGTGTCCTTCTGGTCTGGAATGGAAAACCAGCACCTCTAGTATCCTATCCTGCAGTAGTGAGAAGTGGCAGGAGCCCATCCACCCCTGCTGGAGGCCAGGGAGGGGCAGCACTTGTGCTCCCCTGCCTCTGCAACCAAGGAAGGCTATGTCAGCTGAGACCCTGCTGTCAGTCACTTGGCTGCTGTGGGCTGACAGACAAGCTGGCAGCTGGCATCCATGAGCTGAGCATAGGGCTCTGCTGCCACTCTCCAGAACAGCTGCTGTCTTTCAAAGTCACTCCCTGGGTAGTTTTCTCCCACCTAAAACACCAGTTAAGATAACCCCAAAATCACGCAAAATGTGACACATACCATTGCTATCCAGCAACCTGCAGGCTGCTCCCAGATGTTCTCATTCTGCCAGGACCTGTTGCAACAGCCTGAGTCACATCCCTAAACAAAACTGCTACTCTCTGTCAGCTGTCTACAGTAGAGGGTTAACACTTCAAAGCCTCTCTGCAGTGTCTAATATCCTATTTACATGGCAGTGGGGAATTTGGCTTCCTTTCTTGTATGGTAGCAGAGAATGAATGAAAAGAACACATGGAAGCATGGTGTTTGTGCTGCACCAGGGACTACTGCTCCAGAGCCACCAAGACACTTCCAGCCACCTTTCCTGGGGCTGGCAGGTTAATATCTGGCCCTTGAAGTTGGTGGAAAAAGTCAAACAGAGCTGAGCAAAGCAACATGGTATCCCAGGGACAGAGAAAAGGGAACAGTCCCATTCAAAAGCAACATTTTCAGATAGGAAAGGTGATAAAGGTTTAAAAAAATGGTCCTTCTGGAGAAAAAAAAAAAAAAGCCAAGGATTTTCAAGGCTACAAACCAGACAGGCCATTTCAAAAATGCTTTATTTTGGGGGTTTACACATTGAACACGAAGTGGGATGAAACTGTTGGAAACTGATCAAATCTTGATCATGACTAAAACAGCTTCTTGGTTTTCACACAGAACTAAGGTATACTTTTTTTTTGTCTTTGCAATCATATTAGAATAATAAACATACATCACCTAAGTCCCCCCCACACCCAGCATAAGGGCACAAAACTTAGATGCATAATCTGAAAATTACTTGCATTAGATCCTTATATGATCTATTATACAAGAATGGATTTTCTATTTCCACCATTTTCCCTTTCCTTTCTTGTTTGAGAATATCCTTTCTCCACTAGTGCTTATCCAGCCTTTATCAATGTTATAGCTACATTTCACAAGCTGGCAGTGAGCAGTGACTGTCACCTGTGATGAAGTGGAAACATCCTCAGGACTCAGCTAGAGACCAGCTTAAATTCTTAGAATAATTGCATTATGCACGTCTTTCATCCAGCTCTCCTTTAAAAAAACTAGTTTGACCAAGCCATCTCCTTCAAAAATTTTATAGTAAGTAAAAGAACTCACACATGCACACACATTTTCCATAGTTAGTAGAGAAGCTGTGCAAAAGCCGGAGTTCATGCAATTGAATGCTACCTGTAGACCACATCACTCAGTCAAGGTTCCTATCTGACCATGATATTCATTGCCTCTTACTTCAAAATATTCATGGAATATTCAGTGAATAGCTGCAATTCTGAACAATCCTTACAATCTAAGAAGCAACTACAATAAGACCATATTTCTCTTTAAACATTGTAACCACTGTTGTTAACAGTTTAGTGATTTAATTCACATTTTTATATATTCTGTGAACCTTCCTGCAGAAGCTAATAGCCTCCCACTCACCAGTTTTGAATGACAGGAACAAAGAATCATGAATATGATTGTGTTTAAGCAGCTTCAGATTTAGCAGCTTCAGCACCATGCTTCCATAAATAAGTGACAGATACTAGATCCTGAAAGAATTAAAAAATACCACCCCCACAACAAGGCACCTTGCTCAAGTCCTGCATTTTTATTTAAAACATTCCATAAATGATGGCTGTGCAAGTCACCTCAGGCAAATTTACCACGAGCTTGCATCATATCAGTGCTAAAACACTACAGATCGACTTCTATGACTGCAAACATGTTCTTTCCCATGCATATCCCACGGGGCTCTCTACACACTGATACTCTGTGATGTTAGGTCATTATACTTTGTCTCCCTGTGTATTTCAGCCTGCTATAAATCCTTTCCTGGGGAGTGTAATGATTGTGTAATGAAATATGTCTTTGTTCTTTTGACAAAAATTCAATTTTCTCCCTATAACATAGAGGGGAGAAAAAGAAAAGATTATTATAGTCACATTATTTAAAAAAAAGAAATATGCGATGCAACTACTTTGCATTGTTCTAACTTTCAGCACATAAGCTAGTGCAAAGTCATATAAATATTACAGTATACAGTATTATCATTACCTAATAGCAACATTTATATTACTGCTTTAAGATCTGATGCAGCACTTTCCTGCTGGCAACTTACCCTCAAGTACTTCTGTAATGAAAGACTTCAAAAAAGACAACTTATAGGCCCTTTTTTACTTCAGCTGGTTTTAACCATTTGCTGCCTTGACCATATAACCTGCTAACTTGAGATGAAGACCGTGATTACACGAGACCATTTGGATGAACCCATTCTAGCACAGGCACCTTGAAGTATACAAATCACTAACAACAAACATATACACAGTAACTCTGCAATTGCCTACCCAGATTACTTAAACATTTAAAAACTGTATATAACTAGCAAGCAGTATACCCAAAACCTCACAGAGGTGTTGCCCTATATCTTGTGTGTTATTCACCAGAGATATATTTAACATCAATTACTTGTTATTTATGTTTTGCTATTCCTTTAATAGTAAAAAGATACAGGAATTTAATTCTCAGTTACTCATTTTGATTTCAGGGATTACTTCCCATGGTTGTGGCAGAAACATGCCACATACTGGTGAAAATTATACCATTTCTCTACTGAAAATTATGTGCTATTACAGAAGAAGCTCTTTATCACCTAGGTGAAAAGATGTAAAGAACATTATTTTCAAGCATATTTATGATGCAAGGCACCATTAATGAGTACCTAACAAGTTGAAATTGATTACTGTATGAATCTAGAAGAAAACAAGCAACAATAAATTGTATAGAGGGAAAAATTGTGGAAAAGTAACAAATGTGTAAGTAGTACATTATTAGATTAATTGATGTAATTAGATTATCTGGTTTTTAAGCCTTTTTGCTCTTACTACATTACCTGTAGGTGCAGAGTTGTGGCTCCTACCTAGGCAGTATTACAAGACAAAAAAATAAAGGATTTGATTCAGATTATTACTCATGTTGACCTGGCTAGCATGCATCTGATGAACTACTTGTAGAAGCAGACACATTGCCAAGTATAGCTTTTTATCTACTCTTTCTCTCCCTTTTCTACTTTCCATACCTATCAGTAAAAGATTTATAGAGTAGCTTACAGGGCCACAGCATTTCTAATAGCACAAAAGGTTATTGCACTGCTGGAGAGGTCCAGCTCCACTTAATTCTACCATCTATTTTTTATACATTCTTGTAGCACCACTTAGAAAGACAAAACGACAGCCTGACATAGCAGAAAAACAGATGATGTGTTTGGTCCCATAGCCCTGAGCAGGTTTTGGAGAGGTGAAGAGCTGCTTTTTGTTTATGTAATGTTCCCCACGGCAGGATCCTAGAACATTTTGGATGTACACAAGGCTCTGCAGCACAAAGCTGTGCAATCCAGCACACAGTAATGTGCCACACCAGGATCATCGTGCCACATGCGGAAAGGTGGCCTTGGACCTTGGAAAGTGGGAGAGAAGTCAGCCACACGAAAAGAGGGAAACATTCCCACCGCAAATCTTTATAAACCTACAAAACATGTTTTTACTAAATGTATGTGCTGAGTATCTTTGCTGAATATCTTCTCTATTCTAGCTGATCTCTGCATTTTTTTTCTTGATGGGCTCTGAAATGCATATCAGTACAGAAGGTTATAATAAATTCTGAACCTTGCACAGTGTTCTCTACATACAGACAGGATCAAGACATCTATTTACTGTGAATTATGTTCCATTAGGAAGGAAATGTAACAGAACTTGAAGTATAGTTTGTGGGTATGCACTACAATGTATGTAATAAATATCCTCTTATGAATTCCCTTGGAGTTTTCCAGTGGTGCCCTTCAAAGCAGAAAAAAAGCATAGCTAGGAGTACTTATTCTAGTTTGGCAAGGCTCTTGGTAACTGTTATAGAAGTCTAGCTCTTCTTTCTTTCTGATAGCAGGAAAGCTTTGCCCAAAGTAACCCACAACGGGACAGGGAGATGAAAAGCACTATATAGTGGTGTGATTTTGGTCGAGACAGAAGATATCTTTTAAACAAAGTAAAGTCTCAGAAGCAGAACCAAAGCCCTTTCAGTTCCATTTACTGAAAAGACTACTTTTTACACAATTTAAACAAGACATCAAT